ATGAACATTTTGGGCTCAATCATAACTATAATGAGCAGTAGCATCAATACTGCAATATTGTGTTTTACCCTTTGAATTATTTTGATTAATCAATTTTCTTTGTTCTTCTGCTAATTTGGTATTTTTATTATAATAATTTCTTTCCAATCTCGCCTTAGACAAATGTTCTTTAAATCTTTTGAGCAAGTCTTTAGCTTCTTCCTCCTGACGAGCATTATAATGTAAACCATCTCTAAAATGTTGACAAGTATCACACAAGTCAGTTCTTGGATTCATAACTTGAATTTCTGGTGTCAATTGATGTCATAATTTTCTGAAGGCATCATATTTTAAGGATTTTAATTTGCTATCTTCTTCTAGACCAGCTAGAAAATATCTATGTACTGATTTATAACTCATTTCAGCTGGTAAGAATGTAACTGATCGGGTTATTCTATTGATACTTCTTCCTGGGCTTGGTAGTCCATGAACTTCAGCATAATTTTCCAAAAAATTCTTTACAATTTCTGCAACATTTTTGTCAATCACCATTTTAGTTTTCCATTGAGGCATCCTTTTAATATTACCATGAACTCTTGTTAAAAGACCATTGTTTATCAGATGATTTCTGATATTTTCAAAATAAGTTCTACCAATCCTAAAATAAGTTTCTTGGCAAAGGGGCATATTATGATCCCAGTGATAGAAAGTTCTTTTATTAGATCTGGTTTTCTTTTTAAGGCGCCTGCTAGTACTTGTTGATCCACCATCCATTGCTTTAATTTGTGCCATCAAAAATATGTCTTGTTCAGGCTTGGAAAGTGCTTGAAATGACTCCCTTAATTCTGCAAATTCATCCTTGAGAATTCTTGAAGAACAACCACAATCACAACCTTTTTCTAAAAAATCAAGTGCTTTTTGATATTCATTAGAACCATTATACTTATTATTGCTTTTCATATACACCTATCCCTATATATATAATTTTATAATTTCATGTTCACTTTGTAGGTTTTCATTTATTTTAAATTGAAATTGGTCCTGTGGTGACAAGCAAAGTGGGCAGAAAAGAAAAATAAATATCAGAAATATATATTCAATAATTGATATATATAAAAGAGAAAATAAAAATCCTCAACTAAAATAATTATGTTAGATTTAAATTCTTTATAATTACTAAAAATGGATAAAATAAATTATCTTGAGACCTAAGATTTATTGATCAACTAAGATGCCTCCTGTTCATTAAAAATGACTCTGGCTTGCTGCTGAGAATGCTAAGCTTAAAGACAGAGTCACGAAGTGGTTATCTGTTTTTTATTTTTCTTTTCTAGTTCTTCAAATCTAATCTTGAGCATTGCATTTTCTTCTATAGCTTGTTTTAATTTTATATTTTCAGCCTTAATATTAACATTTTCTTTTCCAAGTTCAGTAATCTCAGATGCAAGCCTAGAGTTTAATTCTCTCAAGGTATTGATTGTTGATTGATCATTTGACATTGTTTTATAAAAGATGTGGATATATTCAAAAGGTTAAACACACAAAAAAAAATCTTTAAAAATCACATTATTTTATTGAATGTGATAAAAATGGTTATACCTACATGAAATATGTAGTGTCAAAAAAATGTATTAATAATTTCACCAATTCATTGTGCTAAATTGTCGGTAAATATGTATCAGTTGTTATCCGTTATCTTACAGTCAAACTAGTCTTTTTAGAACTGTAGAGAAGAAAGGTTGAATATAAATTTCTTGGAAAGAAAATCTGTATGAAAAGAATAGTCATTAGTTTGCAAGCTCAGAATTTGATCCATTGAAATGCACTTTTACAGCCACCTAGGCTAAGTCAGGTAGGAATGTCATGATTATTATTATTATCATGTCATTTGTATCTGACTCCTTATCTTTAATTTGAAAATTTTTGTCTACCCTCCTCCCATATTTAGGTTCTTTGTTTGGATGGCTACTGGCAGATTTCAGCACTTCATGTCTCATGGTTTGGTATATTTGCCCTTTGAGCATACTATGAGACTTGTGGTCCCTTTTTCATTTTGGTTTTCTAGATAGGCTTTAGCCACATCATTCCTTTCACCTTGATTTTTTTGTATGTGTCAGGCATGTGGGTGAGTTTTGGTATGATAATATGAAATGCTATTTGCCCTTCAGCCCCTGGGGGTGTTGGGTGGTCTGTACATCTATTTGAAAAACTTAAGTGGCTAGAACTTTGACCATGCTATAAATGATATGATTTTGCTATTGAAGAATGTCAGGTTGTGCTAGGACAAGTAAAAAAGTATTATCAACATGAACCAACTATATTACAAAAGCTCAGATTCTATATTGCATAAATAAGATGTTTTGAAGAAGACAGTACACCAACAACTATTGGTACAAACTACAATCAATAAAGAAACGACTACCACAAGTACACCACCATTGTCTGAACTGGAATGTTAAACATGTCACTTGGCAAATATTTTATGGTTAATGATGCTTTCTACTGAAATTCAACAATTACAACCACCACCACAATAAAATGATCTATATATTTGCTAATAATTTTTATTTTAAATTACCAATGTAAAAAGTTTGAATGTCAAATAATTCTTGATAAGTGCTCAATTTAGTCTAGTATTAAAAAAAAGATGTAAATTAGCTCTCAAAAAAATTAGTTAATAAAGTAATTGATGAACTTTAATTTTAATTATCTTGTGTACTCTTTGAGCAATTCAATTCCTTGTCTGCAATTTTTTTCTTAACACACTGTATATATAACTCAAGTTTTATGGGTAAGCTAAAAATGCAACTGGAATGTCCTTAATGACAATTTCCAAAGTTTAACAAACTTGTTGAGTTAATCTTGATTCTTCCAAGCTCTTCAAATAGGATATAACAATCCAAATATAAACCTAACATTATTGCCAAAACCGAATCTTGGGTCAGAGTTAATGAATCAATTCTTAGTATTAATGTGTGTATTTTAGGGTCTATTTATTTTTACATCCTATTTTGATTTTTTTTGGGAGATTGATAAATCTTTGAAATGCAAGTCAGTATAAGAAAATCACCTGATTTATGGCAATCTACACAGAATTTTTCAAGCATGACGCGCTTTTTTTTTGAAAAAATAATATTTTTTAGTAAAACACACACACACACATATAAAACTGAATGAATAGAATAAGTTGTTTCGAAAATGCATTTTGTATAACCATGAAAAGTTTTTCTAGACCTTTTCAAATTAAAAAGCAGTCATCATTATTACTACAATGTTTTGCTGAGGAAATAAAAATTATCAAATCAAAGCATGTTGTTGTTGGCTTTATATTTAAAAGAGAATATAGTAAAGAGGGTACAATGAACATCAATGAAATTTACTCAAAGTATTACATTCCAAGACCTGGTGAAGTGCTTGAATTTCTTCTTAATCATTATCAATTTCCAAAAAAAACTAGCAGGCCTACTTTGGTAAGGGTTAAATGTCCAATGTGCATCCAAAGAAAAAACAATTATTACTCTTTACAAGTTGATTTAAACAATGGATCATATCAATGTGAATCATGCACAAAAAAAGGTACGTGGCATGAATACGTAAAGAGGATAACAAAATCTGATTCATATCAGATTTTACAGTCAACGAAATTAGGTTTTATCAATGAGGAAACACATTTTACTAGGCCATATGAGGAAATAGCGAATTATACAAATGAACTATTTACAAATTATCCATCAATCATTAAACACTATTTAAACAAATATAAAATAAATGCAAAAACTTTAAAAGATTATAAAGTTGGCGTGGCAAAATATTCAAATTTCAAATCTGCCCTTTCAAAGACATCTGGCAATTTTTCAGACGAATCCTTATATAGAGATGCAGATGAATTATGTATGACGTTTCCAAGGACAGCACCATGTTATACTAATGATCTCAATGATAATATTGAGGGCTATGCTTCATCGATAGTGAGAATTAAAGTATGTTCAAATGATGAAACAAACAAGTTTGTAACTTTTGATCCACCAACATCAAAAAAAGCTGGTATGTTTGGGTATCACTTAGTACCATTAGAAATAGATAAAATCATCTTAACCGGTAATGAAGTTGACGCAATGGCAGCATACCAAGAGACTGGCATTCCAGCCACATGTTTACCTAATAACAGTTATCAACTACCTATACAAATTTTCCCATTATTAGAAAGATTTTCAACGATATATATTTGGTTGGATGATGATGTTTTTGGACAGGATGCTGCAGAAAAATTTGTAGAGAAGCTAGGAATTGAAAGATGTTTAATAGTCAATTCAAGATGTGGTGAATCGAACGGACCTACAAATGCAAGCGAAGCTTTAATTAAGGGGAAAGATCTAAATGAAATTCTTTTGACTGCAAAACCATTAAGTCACAAGCAAATTATAAAGTTTGAAAACCTCAAAGACGCTGTATATCGAGAACTTGTTAATCCCGAACAAGTTCGTGGTGTTTTATCAAACGATTTGCCTGCTTTGAATCAAATTCTTAAGGGACATCGTCTGGGAGAAATGACAATTTTTACTGGCGGAACTGGCACAGGGAAAACAACAATTTTAAGTCAACTTTCTTTGGATTATTGTAGGTCTGGAGTTAGTACTCTATGGGGAAGCTTTGAAATACCAAACATAAGGTTGGCAAAAAAAATGTTACAACAATTTGCACAAAAAGATTTATCACTGCATCCAGAAGAATTCACAGAATGGACAAACAAATTTCAACAGGTAAAAACTCAAAGTGATCAATTAACACTTTCTAATTAGCATAAATACTCACATATATAATCCAATGATTTTTTTTATTTATTAATAGCTCCCAATGTATTTTTTTAAATTTTTTGGTACTACAGAAATTAACACAGTTTTAGATGCAATGAATCATGCAATCTTTGCATATGACGTCCAACATATAATAATAGATAATTTACAATTTATGACATCTGAGATGGGAAGATATAATAATAGATGGGAATTACATGATCGTACTATATCAGCGTTCCGTAAATTTGCAACAGATAGAAATGTCCATATCACATTAGTAGTGCATCCTGTCAAAGACTATGGAAAATTAATAGATATTCATTCAATATTTGGGTCTGCAAAAATCGCACAAGAAGCTGACAATATAATTATATTACAAAAGGTTAGAGATGACCAAGGTTTAGAAATAAGATCTTTGGACATAAAGAAAAACAGGTAATTCGATTTAATATTGATTAATTGATTAGTTGACTATGATAATAATTATTATACATGTTTTTGTGTATGTGTTAGATTTGATGGTACTGTGGCATCCATACCTATTGAATTCATTCCCGATTCTCTTAAAATTTGTAAGTATTTATTTTAAGAAAAATGTTGTTATTTAATCACAAATACAATTTATGTATATATATTTTTTAAGAAAAATGTTGTTATTTAATCACAAATACAATTTATATATTTTTTTTTAAATAGACCAAACAATATTATAAACAGTAAGTAAAATATCAACTGTAAAATATTATTACCAAGTGAGATTATAAGATTAATTTCTTTTTGGAAGATTCGATTTTTCTTAAATTACTTTAATGTATTATAAAAAAAATATATTATTATTTCTTTTGTAAAAAAATATAAATCTTTTTTAATTATATAATATAAAACGCGTGCTTGGCACTTATATTTGTTAAAGGACATGTGTACTTTGAATCTGATTTCAATTTATAATGTAGTCATTTTTCAATTTTAAAAAATGTCCTTATTAAAATCAAATTGATATTTTTGTATATTTTTTTTAATTTATAATTAATGAATTCAACTAATTTTCTAATTTCAATTCTTTTTCTCCTATCATTACTAGGTCCAATGTTACTAATTGATTGAAGAATAAATATCATTGTTAGTAATAAATTAATTTAATTGAAATTCAAGATCATTTAGTAAGTGGTAGAATTTTTCAACTTTTGATTTAGCAATTTCATCATCTAATATTCTACTCCCAATGGATGTGATTTGATTATTATCAACATCACCATTACTAAAATGGTCTTTTTAATAAATTCGTATCCTAACGCTTTTGGCATAATCATCATAATCGTCAGGAATTTCTGGTACTATTTGACGATAATGGCCTTAAACCCTCGCAGATTTTTAACATTAAATGAAAATTATGTATTATATCGTCAGATGGTGAACATCCTGCAAATATTTCCCACACGAATATTCCCAATGCAACATAACGTGATTCCGTAGAGATTTATCAGCAACTGATCTATTTAATCCTATATAGATCAATCTATTGAAACAATTCCGATGAAATTATACGACCAGCAAGAAAGAAACATACAAATGACCGTATATACGAAATAGTTTATTAGATCATTAATATCAAAAAAAAAACCTTCGCTATTTCGGAAAAAGCGATAAATCCAACCCACGACCTTAGTGTTAAGTCTCCCGGAGAAATGGCTTGCTTTTTTTTAGAACGTTTCTCTTCACCTATTTATTTGTAATAGTAATCTTTTAAAATCCCTCTTGTTCAAAACTTATCTCCATTTTCTTCCGAGGAAGCTTATAAGGATTATATTGCAATAGTTCAAGTAGTGTTGGCATTTGGCCAAATTGGCCAAGATCAACAGCCAAAGTAAACGGCCAAAGTTTATTGGCCACGGCCAATTGGCAAAATATTGTCACACACTAATTTTTTTTATTCGCATGTTTGCTCTTACTCATATCGAAGAATTAAAAAATGCCCCATAAATATATCAGTTATATCCAACTTTTATCTGAACAAGTAGATAAATGTGATAAATGGTGAAAATATTGTATATGTGCATCTGGCAAAGAGAGGTTATAATGTAGCTTTATTAGACAAGTTTCCTGTGCATAAATCATGTGATTTAAAAATATTTTATATTTTCATATATCTACAAAAATATTTTTTATTTGCCATTTTGCTGTATTGTCTAATGCAGAATGTGTTTGATTCAATAATAAATCATCCATCTCAAATTCATCATCATTATCAATTGTAGAAAGTAAATCTGCATCCTCTCCTTGAAACAACAAATTTCCCCATTCACTAAATTAGTCTACGTAATTAATATATTTGTGAGGCACTCTTTAATGCTTTAATATGAAGAAGAGCAAACAACATAAGAAATGCTTAATAATAATAAAACGGAAGGAATAATTTTTTAATGTAACAATATTTTGGCCACTAATTTTTTTTATTATAATCTATAATTTTTTAAAAATCACATGATTTATTTGGCCAAAATGGCCAAACGGCCAAATGCCAACACTGAGTTAAAGGTTGTGGTGGACAAATGGAGCCGCGGCATTTTAATGATAATATTGCAAGAAACCTAGTCCTGCAACCTTTTATTGGTCTTATAGATCCTTTAGCACTCCAAAAATAGGAATATAGCATCAAAAAACAAATCGTGGTTTTGAAGCTAAGACCTTTCGCTACAAAGTTACGATGTATAAACAAACATATATGAAAAAATAGATATAAGAAATAAATTTTTTGTCTATTTAATTAGGTGTTGAAAATCGCAGTTATTGACCTGGTGATTGTATTGTATCCTCATAAGGTGTATCATAATTACCAGGACTTGATCATTGCTGATTATAGGTTGAGGTTGATAAAGTATGGCCATCAGTACTACCTGTGAATCATTTGTTGTTTTCTACAAGAAAATTACATATGCAATATTATATATATCTCTATCAATTCACCTTGGATGTCAGCACTTAAAAAAAAATTTTTTTTTTGTTAATAAGAATGAATGAGTGAATTAAAGATGGGTGTCACAATAGTTAATTGATTGATCCCTTCCAATGATTAATCAAAATATTATTTACCTGGCAGTGTAGATTGTTCCGATGCTATTGTTTCAGGACATTTATTTATAATACCTTTCTTTAATTCCTTAACACTATTGTAATATCTTGAACACACATCTCCATTTAATGTAAAACTAAATTCCCGATTATAAAATGATTTGCCAATATCTAAAAAAAATAAAAAAATATTAATAATAACAATAACAATAATAATCATAAACCATTATTTATAAATAAAATTAATACCTGTTCCATAATTTAACCAACAACTAATTATTAGTATACTTTTATTAATTTTTTCCGTATCTTTTATAATTCCGTATGTAAAATTTCTATAGTAATAGGGATGTAATACATTTGATACCATTGTCCTTAATTTGTAAAGAGTTAAAACAAATAAATAGATTGATAAATTGCACCACCCAAGTAATGATAATACCAGGATGATTCCTTGAAAAAAAAAAATAAAATGAGCAAATCTGATATTGATTATAGGCAGGGTGTTGGTGGATTTGGATCTACAAATATCCCATATCTGATTCCAACCCTGATTACATGTGTCAGATTTAAATAAGTTTCCTCTTGCAACACACAGTTTACATGCTAAATGTTATCGCAACCCATAACTGCGGAGCCGCTCGTACCACATTTATGGGACCCCCCGCATGTTGGAAGTCCAAGTGAAAGGCTTTAACAGCCTCCTTGACAATAACGCAATGCCATAAATCTGAGAGCTATGGTCATGGTCCCTCCCCCTGAAGTTCAATCGCATTATATCGTCAGAGGGACAAGTCAAATATTAGCCTTATGTGCTCAAGGAATAAGAAACGTTGGTGTTCCGTGTTTCCAAATTGTCCAAGTATCTACGAGATAGAGATCTCTAATTAATATTGATAACAAATAATCTTGTGTATTTGCTCTCAAAAATAGTTGTTGTGAAGAATGTTGAATAATTACCTATCATATAAAAGACTACAAGTTTTGCTCCACGTTTATTTAGGCTATTATATAAAAAATAAAGGCATAATAAAACAAATGAGTAAAATTAAAAATAAAAAAAAAGACGCGTAATGTTGGTACAAGAAGAATGGTAAATTTCACTTTTTGACATGTCCACATTAAAAATAATATCAAGAAAATTAATTATAAATAATGATGTTTACTAGAATCATCACCATAAGCATTCAACAACTGTTCATTTACACATCTCTTATTATTAATAATATATTACTAATCATGCGTTATTAAATGCATAAGATTTTATTTTGTCAACAGTGATAGATGTGATATCATTGTTATAACAAATCATTTAAACTTATTTTTGTGATTGTTAAATGATATTTCCTTTATATTGTGGAATTTTATAAAATTAGATCTTTTTTATTATGGATATGAATATGGATGTGTTATAATGATTTTTATTTTTTTGCTATATATAATGATGTGGTATAAATAAATAAAATAAATACATGTATACTGTTGGTGACGAAATCATCCAGTACAAATGTAATTGAAACTTATCATTGTGATCTATAAAAGCGGTGGTTCTATTTTACTTACCCTTAAGATTTCAATTAAATATTACTGTAATTTACTGTTCATGTTATTTTTTGTAAAATTATTTTTTGCTTTATCAAATAAAGTTCCAATTTTACAAATATAAGTGCTTTAATTAAATCAAGTCATTAATACTTATCATGTTAAAATCTATTTTTAAAAAAATATGGGCAGTTATAGCTTCTTCCTTTTGGAATTGGACCATTGACCATTGATAACATCCAACGAAAATTTTTTCCTGTCAATTTTGCTAACATCAGTCTAGAATACGATCAATCAGAGCTTTCATAAAATTAACATACCAATAATATGTGGGTGTTCATATTTTTATAATATAAAAAAAAGGTTGATGATATTTTATGATTTATGCTTTTTAAATGGTGTTTTTTCAGATAGAGACGATCTCCAAATTTCCCTACAAAAAAAATTGGAATAATAATCACAAAAATGGTAAAATAATTATATTATTTTCTAATGCAAATTGACATTTATATGATTTAACTTTTCTTCGTTTCCTTTTTTTCAAAATTAGTTACCACTTTCTTTATTAAACACAGCTCAAGGACACCCAATGGTAAAAAAATTATTTAATCTATATATGTAATTATTAATAACAATTTTCCTAATTTTATAGTTGGTAGAATTGAAAAATGGAGAAACATTTAATGGGCATTTGGTAAATTGTGATAATTGGATGAACTTGACTTTAAGAGAAGTGATACAAACATCTCCAGTATTTATTACAATCATTATTAATATTATATATTTATTTGAAGAAATTTTCCTTTGTATAGTAAATCAATCATTATTTATTTCTAGGAAGGAGATCGATTTTGGAGATTACCTGAATGTTATATCAGAGGAAATACGGTATTTATATATCAATCATTGTATTAAAATATAGAGAGGTGAAAAATACTATGATGATAATCAAATTATCTTTACAGATTAAATATCTTAGAGTGCCAGATGAAATTATAGAGATGGTAAGAGAAGATGCAATAAGACAACGTCAAGCTTCTAATATGGGAGGAAGTGGTGGTAGTGGTGGCGGTGGCGGTAATCGTGGTCGTAAGTACATTTAACATATTAATAAATTTATCTCTACAATGATGATTTTTAAAATCATAATATTAAGTGGTATTAATTTTAATTTAGGTGGTGGATTTCGTGGCGGAAACTCTGGAAGAGGTAATTCTTTGAAAAATCATTTCAATGTTTATCATTCGATTAATCATATTAATCATTGATTTAATAACATGTATTTTTAGGTGGTGGAGGTAGGGGTGGAGGTAGAGATGTTAAAGGGGTGAAATCAAAAAAATAATAAAAAAAATTTATTAAAAGAAATAAAATACTGGATTTTTTATCAACATCATATAAGATCTTAGAATTGTTTTAAATTATTTTCCAACTGATTAATGAAATTTCATAATAAATTCAAGAAATTTAATAATATGCATTATATTATATACAGTGCGCATACACAAAAAGAATAATTATAACTATTTAAATAACCTCATTTTCCATTCCTCATTCTAATAATATTAAAATCATTTCTTTTTACTTGTTTTCTTTTTGATGGTTTCGTCACCAACAAAAATACCTTTTTGATTATAAGGCTCAGGTTTTTTATTTTTACGTATATTCGCAGCAAATAATGTTAATTGTGCATAATCACTTCCAATTAATAATATTTGAGTAGGGTTTAGCACTTCACATTTTATTCCATCTGGAACTTCTAGTTGAATTGGATGTGTGTAACCAACTCTAAGAACCAATTTATCTGATTCCATATTAGCTCTATGGCCAACACCTACAAGTCTTATAGGTATTCTGAAACCTTCGCTGACACCAATAACATAATTTGCTATTAAAGCTCTAGTTGTACCCCACATTGCTCTCTGATGTTCTACGCTCTTACTTTGAATGTCTACACGCAACTTTTTTTCACTCACATCACTATCAATAAAGATAACATCTTGATTTTTGACGCTTTCTAAAACTTCTTTTTTCCTGGCTGATAATATTTCTCTTTTCCGTTTCTCTTCATTTGCAATAATCTCAATTTTAATAAATGGTTTTATTGGCATAGAATGACTACCTAATGGTCCCGATATTGTTAAAGTAGTAGAATTCAGATCAGTCAAAGTTATTGGCTGTAAATTAGGTGTCAAGTCATGTTTTATTTCAACCTCTGATGGAATTGTTATAGGTTTACGACCTATGTGAGATTTGTTTGAATGTGAGGTAGAAAAAAAACACTGTTTGATGAACGAAAAAGAAGAAGCATTGTAATTTAATTTTAATTTTTGTAATTTTTGTAATTTTTGTAATAACATTTTTTTCAGTTGGAAGATCCTTCGTGTTATGATCATAAACTAGAATATATAACATTATCATTTATTTATTATTATAATTTATAATATATTCTTTTCTATAATATAACATATATTCATTTTTCGAATGCCAATTCGAGGACCACTTGGTGAGTCAAATAAATAACAATAAATGGTTTGGTGAATGTTTTTTATAATTAATTGGAATTTTTATTTTCTTAATTTCCACATTTTTGGAGGAATATCTAAAATAAACAAACAAAAAATCATTAATAACAGAATAAAATATATAAAAACAATCATCATCATCATTATTACTTATTTACTTTGTAAATTTTTAATAGTAGGAATTATAAATGTTGTCAAAGACAAAATACCAAGTAACACACAAATAATAGAGACAATATAATATCCATCTTGATGAACAGTACAGACACCACCTTTCTCTTTACATAGTGATTTTTCTTCTTCAGAAACACATTTAAATACTAAATAAAATAATAAGATGATTAATTTAATAATTTAATATTTAATAATAATTAATAATTAATAATTACCTTCTTCTGTTGAAGTTCTAATTATACATGAAGCATCTGTGAAATAATCAACCGCTTCCAATACAAAGAAACGAGGCCATGTACCTCCAAAATTACTAAATGTTGCCAAAAGCTAACAACAACAACAACAACAATAATTTATATATATATGTTTTTTTATAAGAAAATTAAATCTGTTTCCTCGCAAAAAAATACTTACTGTCATGTATGTTCCACCAATCACAGGATCTGCAATTGATGACATAAAAGCTGATATACAAACAAACTGTACAGTACTAGTAATAACAAAAACAAACCATTTAACTAGTATAAATATTTAATTCAATTAATCGATTCAATTTCTTTTCCTCTTACCTTGTAAAAGAACTTAAAACTATGCTTGCAATCACAACATAAAACATACTTGATGAAACTTTGTTATTTTCAGGGAATACGTACACTACCAGCATACCTACAGATGCAAAAAATATACGTCCATAAAATGCATTTATCCACTATAATTAATTAAGATAAATTAATCGTTATTTAAATTATACATATGCATATGTTTTCGTAAAATATTTTATCAAGAAAACAAAAAATACTCTTTCATACAGGTTTTAATGGTTGTGGTCCATTACTCCATTTAGCTGCATAATATCCAACTAAAATCTGTATTGGAAAATCAATCAATACTGCCAATGCTAAATCTTCTTTACTAAATCCTTTTTCCATTAATTTTAATGCTGTGACAGCTTCATTGGCAATAAATCCAATTTTAGCTGTTAAAAGTACTAAAATAAGTTTCATCATATCTGATCAATATCGATATATCAATATGTCAATATTTATATTTATATAGTAGATATATTAATTATTATATTAATTATTATTATATTAATTATATGATAAAAAGAAATATAAACTTACGTGGCATTTTACAAATATTCCAAATAGTTTGATAAACAGTTTTAATATCCATTTCATCATCTGAATATGTTGCATCCTTAGTAAATAAATAAATAAATAGGTCAATTAAAACAATAATTAGACAAATAATCTTTATTAATTTTTATCCAAGACTCACTTCACTTTTAGCAAATATTAACCAAAGGGTCACTGCAAAATATACAAACGACCAAAAAGTAAGGTATGATCCAAGTGCTAAAATTCCTTCTTCGCTTGGTTCACTTCTAAAATACTTGTTACTAAAAATAGTAAAATAAATAGTAAAATTATCAGATTTTTCTTTAATTATTCATTTCAAAATAAATAATTGCAATAATATACCTGAAATCTGCAGAATTAAATGCTAAGAAAACAGTAAATGATAAGAAATATCCAGTATTTAACCCAATAGTTTGGGAGGTAGAGGCATACGATAAACTGTTTTTTGATAGTAAAGTTAAAGCCCATCCTATTATTGTAGAAAAAACGATTTAATGTTTTTTTATACGTAATTATATTTAATATTCAATAATAATAATTACCATCAACCGCAACGTCTTGATCAAAATTAACAGAAATTTGAATATTAATTAAAGTTTGTCAATTTATTCATCAAGTTCCATTCTATATCAATATTAATCAATTACCTTGCGTCGCAGAAAAAAAAATCAATATGAAAAATAAGGCAGTAAGAACATAGACATCTGGTTTATCCTAAAGTTAAAAGATATTAACATACATACATATAAATGTATTTTTTATATACTTTTATTAATGAAGTTTTTCTTTCTACCTTTGAAAACAAATGATCAATATTGTCTCCTAACCACATAAAAAGGCTTCCTGTCATCAATTGAATAGGTATTATCCAACTTTTTCTACGTCCAACTCTTTTCGAATATATAGAATCTACAAGCGGTGACCATAATAATTTTAATGAATAAGGATACGTAGCCAAGGAAAATATTCCTAATTGTGAATATGTTAACTTTGATTTAAGAAGAAAGGGTATTGATCCAAACGCTAGCCCAACTGGTATTCCTTGAAGTAAATCTTGAAAAAAGTTTTTAATTTATTAAAGATGTTTCATACGTGTAAATAAAATATAAAAATCAATTACTCACATAGAATAATTAGTAGAACTACATTTCGTCTATCCTGTGCGGTTAAACCTTTATAAGCTTCGACTGTTCCTGCCGTTGGGGAATGGAAACTCATTTCTTCCTCCCTTTCTTGTCCATCTATAAAATCTTTTTTTTTCATATCTCTCATTTTTTCTGATGTTTCCAACATTACGTTAACAACAGGCTTTATTGAACTTTCGGTTTTGCTAGTTTCTATAACTTCTTCTGTATGATCTGATGATCTATTGCTTTTTTCATGTGCAACGCGTTTGACAAGAAATTCTTCTTCCGCCTTTTCTAATTGAAAGCCTGTTGTTGGTGTCGATTCTCGCATAATATAATGAAAGGTAGAGAAAATCACGTGTTAATTAATTTATTTATTGTGGACAGTTTGTTGCCTAAGCTGTTTTTAGAAAAAAAGTAATTTTCAATGGTTCCTAAAATAATTATTTAGAGTCTATAAAGATTCGGCAAAATTAGTTTCGGATATTAATAATATTATTATTAAAAACTATTTTGGTTCCGGCAACGATTATTAGAAATTAGTGGTAGTTTACTTTTTGTCTAAACTCTTATCAATCAAGGGTGCCAATTTCGGCAACCATATTAATATTAATATCCATAGTTGTCGAGTAACTTGAACCGATGCGAGGATTTTTTATAGGTAATGAAGGCTTTTTTTAGGTCACTAGAAACCTTTTATTGGCAGTATAAAATAAAATTTACAACGAAAATTTTTTTGTAGCATACAAATGTCACGTGACCGCCTACATTTTAACTATTTAACACAGTAAAAAATGAACAAATATATAAAATACCAGTGTAACTTGTCTATAAGCATACTGTTTGGCCAAGAAAATCCCATGTTATTAAGTGGGTTTGCATTTATATGTTTATGACATCACAAAAATTCATGAGTTTTTCTTTAATAAAATTGTTGAATATAATACATTTTCAATATTCAATTAACTCATCTGGGTTATCTAATTCATAAATGTTATCTAAATCATTAAAATTACCTAATTCATTGTAATTATCTGTTTAGTTTAGTTTTCCAGATTTGGCGATTCCATAATAAATAACCCAGATTGCATGCTCACAATAGTTATAGGCTATACATGCAGCCCAAATTGGTTTGGTGATTTTGATGGTCAAAATTATTCCAATTTTGATGGTAGAAAGTAGAAATTAATTACGGCATTCACTATTAAAAACATAAGTGTAACACCCCTTTACTACACGTGTAACCCCCTTTATGACAGTGTCAAAATACTTTGGGCTGCATGTATAGTTATAGGCTGTAAATAATTACAGTATTATAGTTTTATGGTTTATGACTTTAATGACTTTAGGATGTCATGCCAAATTTATTTACAGAATGTAATTACAGTTTTGTGTGATACAAATTTATGGCTAAAAAAAAGTTCTTTTAGAAATTATACAAATATAATAGAAAAATACAAATAATTTTTAAAGGATGGAAAACACTTTGGATGAAAATGGATATCATGATGATACTTCTATTGACAAAAATGATGATGATGAATATTCAAAGGAAAGAAAAGGATATTGTGGAGAATGTCAAACCTGCAATAGATATAATACTAATTATTCATGGTGTAAATCATGTGATCTAAAGCCATTAACTGAAGTATGGACTAGTGGCAATGAAACATTAGATGAGTTGATTAAAAGCACACAACTTAAATCAACCAAGTATCATTATAGTAATCATCTTCAATGGATTGATTTAACAAATATTGAAAAGATAGGTGAAGATGGGTTTACAACTGTATACAAAGTTACTTGGTTAAATGGTTATAAAAGTGTAAATTATAATAATGAAGGAACTAGCAAGGATATGCCAATGGCATTAAAGAAACTACATAATTCACAGAATATTTCTGATGAATTTCTTAATGAGGTAAATTGTTTTACTTTTCATTCATTTTCAGATTTTTTAAATATTGTTGTTGTAATTAAATATTTTATTTGTTATTTTAGGTTGAAAATTATACAAAGTTTCATGATAAAATTTATATTTATGGATTAACACAAGATCCAATCACAAAAGAATATACATTTGTAATGGCATATATGGAAAGTGGAAGTCTTCAAAATTGTTTATTTAAAGATTTTAAAATTTTAAAATGGAAACTGGAAATTAATATTCTTAAATTATTGAAGGTTTAAAAAATATTATAAAGAAGAAATTATTCATCATGATCTTCATAGTGGTAATATTCTTCAAAAAAATGAATATATGAATTCATATATTGCAGACTTAGGATTATCATGCCCAACTAGTCAAACATCATCATCAAACAAAAATGATATATGTGGAGTACTATCATATATTGCACCAGAAGTTTTAAAGGGAGAAACCATATAAAATGGCATCAGATGTATACAGTTTTGGAGTTCTGATGTCTGTAGTATCAACTGGCAAACAACCATTTAATAATTTGGAACATGATGTAGATCTTGCAATGAAAATATGTAGAGGAGCATAGTAGACACTGTTGCAGATCACAAAAACAACTATTTCATTGGCCAAATTTTTGTCGATCTTATTCCAAATTATCACAAAATCTAATTTTGATTGGGTTTGACAATTATTATAAATAAAAAATCACAGCATTAAAAAATTTCAACTTTTGATAGTCAAACACAACTTTAAAGCCAGCTTGGGATTATGGGTAGGGAAACACAATATTTGTAATAAAATTAATTATTTCATTTAGGGAAAGCAATAAAAACTATTTATTTATTATCTTTGTTTATTTGTTGTTTATTAATATAAATAATAATAATAATAATAATAGTATATAACATTCTTTCTGATTGTATAGATCCATTTTTTAATTTGAACAATAGTTATATTATCCAAAAACCTTATATCTGCTTATTATAAATCAACTGTTATATTATCTTTCAATAAACTACAAATATAATAATAATAATAATAATAGAGTTAATAACACAAGCAAATACATATATGATATAATAAATTCAATACTTCAATATGCAATAAATCAATTTAATTGTATATACTCTCCATTCACTTGCACTTACTCTGTAAGGTGAATGCAGCTTTATTTTTCACCTGCTGAAACAAGATTTACAATTATACATGCACCTATTGCTTGAAGGTGTAGTTTCCAATGTATCTTCTTACATAAATAAAGGAAATTTGACTGAGCCCTTGAATGAAGTAGAAGAATCCCACATAACAGGAGATGAAAAAGTGGAGAAAGATATAAGTGAAGAACAAATAATAGCTTTAGACTTCAAAAAAATGCTTTTGATTTAATTAAAGATTGGTAAATTTTGAAAATAAATTGTGTGCATATGTCTAGACTTTACTCTAAGCTCCAGTTCATATCTAACTTTTGATCTAGCAATGATCCGAATGATCTTAGTTAACCGAACAGTAAAGACAAAAATAATGAATATTTCCATTCAAAAAAAAAAAAGATTTGCTACACCAGTTTTTCTTTTCACATATACTCCTTTTTTTCTATTTTAAAACAATTGAAATAGCAAGTTTCACAACATAAAAAAGATTAGTGATTGATTTTGTCACATTTGTTCTGCAACAGTGTCCACTATGCTGGATTTGAAACATTTTGCACAGCATTTGATGGGTTATAGTGGTGTGCACCATAGTACTATGGAAGTTTTGAGGAAAACAGGTTACATGTAACATATTGGCAGTGTTGTGCCATTTATGGTTCCAATAAAATTTCATTGGAGCATTCTAATAAATTCCAATTGGAATTGGAACATTCCAAATGTGGTTCCAATGAAGTTAACCAATGAAATTCAATTATAGTGTCATACACACGAATTTTATTGGTTAATATCAATTGAAGATCTACATTGGAACATTCCAATAGCATTACAATGTTCTAATTGCACAATACTGCATATTGGATGAAACAAATTTTCAGTGAGTAAAATTGAGCAGGTGCAACAGGCATGCATCACATTACACAGCATTTATGTGTCTAAATCATGGATCCCTCCCTACTTTACAACAAATTCATGTGATCAAATTTCCAAAAAAAAGATCTAAATAATAAAATAATAAAAGTACCAGGATTGATAAAAGTGATCAAGCTTGGACCTAGGGTAGTGGACTGTTTGAACAAAAGCCCATTATTGGTTAAATTTCAAAATATCTAATTCCAAACAATATTGAGTTATATTTTCTTGGATAATATTAAGGAGTTATTTGATAAAATGTAAATAGCAATAAAGTTTCGTTGTAACAAGATTTATTACTGTAACGAATTTCTTGTAGATTATTCTAGATTCGATTTCCATCTAGGGTAACATCCCTGACGACTGTACCACATTTTTTTATACATTGTCAACAATTTCCGTTTTGGGAAAGTTGAAAGAATCAAATTTCAAGTTGGCAAAAAAAAATTTGTAATTTCTATTTATTCTAAAAGAAAACTAAACATTTTTATATACAAGAAAAATAATTCATTAGCTAAAGTCATTTTCATGTTAGAAATCAAGTAAATCATCAATAATATCAGAATGGATTCTTTGCCAGTCAAAAATTTTGGAATAATAACTCAAATTAATGAAGAAATACACCAACTAGATACTGATAAAGATAATCATAATGACCAAAATAACAATGATCAAGAAGAATTAGTTGATGGTGATAGGCGTGCGACTACTTCACGTTTTAGTAAAGTCTTTGATCCAAACTTTTGGTTGACTGCCTACGAACAATCCAATAATAATTCTAGTGGTGTAGGTGCTCTTACTACTACTAACAACACATCTCAAAAACGGCAAACTATTATTGATTATGATAGCGTGTTGACAGGACCTGATTCAATACGTTTTTCAAAAATTATTGATTTATCACTAATTTCTGATGAGATCAAAGATGAAGATTTGGACCTTACTTTTATAAAATTTTTGGTAAATTTGTAATTTTAAAAATAAAAAAATTTTTCTAAATTATTTATTATTTTTTAGTGATTAAAAATTAGTTAAATTTAATTTCAAAGGATGAAATGAATATGCATAAGGAGCCTCGTAATAAGTTATTACAACTTCCTAACGAATATAAACGAGCTTTAATTGTTCAGAGTAGACAAGCAAAAAATCAAAATCAACAACAAAATAGTGAAAATGTTAGTAGGAAAAATGATAATAATAATGATACACAAAATCAAAGACAAGAACAAGAAGAAAATTCAAATGATGTTGTTATTAAAGAAATGGTTGATTCTAAATCAGAACATTCACTTGCTTCATTAACGTTAGATACTGCAAATAAATCCCAAGAGGATTTAACAAAATCATCATTGTCATCATTGTCCAATTCAACAGGATTCCTAAGTTGGTTTGGATTCTCATCATCATCGTCATCATCATCATTCAAGCCTCAAGGAACTCCTACCTATTATATTGAGAAAATAACACAAAAGTATGGATAGATTTTATTTCAAAATTTAATTTCTCTAACGTATGCAAATTTTTATTTATATTATATTGTTATAATAGAAATATTTCATCAAAATCATTATCTGAAGCATTACAATCTTTAAGAATTACTGTGTCAAGTGAATCATTATCATGGATAAGAGTCTTTTTAAATG